AAAAATGGGCCCATTTTTTTTAAAAAAAGGCATGAATAGCTTTAGGGGGGCTTGCAGAGTACTCCTGGAGGGGGAGCAAAAACGAGAAAAAATGGGGCGTTTTTTTGTGAAAACGGGCCCATTTTTTGTCAAAGAATTTGCATGCATAGCCTTATGGAGGCTTATAGAGTGCTGCTGGGGGCTGGGGGGTGGAATGGCCCATTTTTTGCTCATTTCTGCCCTCTGAAAACCTTCATAAGGGTATGCATAGTCATTTTGGTGTAGGGAGCAAGGCTTCGGCAGGCAAAAAATGCTGTATTCAATGTAAAAAGATGCGCCCAAATTTTCAGCCTCTTTTTTGAGGAAAAAAGGTATGTCTTATATTCCAAAAAATACGGTAAGTGAATTGCATAATCATTAAGTAAATCCAGCTTCCCCCATTGACTTTGCTTATCAGAAGCCAGGTGGGAAGATCACAAATGGTGATCAAGTGATCCCAGGCCTTTGCAACCATCATAAAGCTATGCTGGTTGCCAAGTGCCCAAATTTTGATCATTTGATTCTTGTGAATGTAATAGCAATAGCACTTAGACGTATATACTGCTTCATAGTGCTTTATAGCCCTCTCTAAGCAGTTTACAGAGTCAGCATATTGCCCCCAACAATCTGGGTCCTCATTTTACCGACCTCAGAAGGATGGAAGGCTGAGTCAACCTTGAACTAGTCAGGATCGAACTGCTGGCAGCTGGCAGTCAGCAGAAATAGTCTGCAGTACTGCATTCTAACCACAGTGCCACCATGGCTCTTAATGATTGCTGTAAGCACTATTGTAACTTTGAATAGTCACAACATGAACGGTTGTAAGTTGAGGACTACCTATAACTCTTTAAGAATTACTTCTTACACTAAAATAAAACAATCTGTATTCACTTTTTTCCTCATAGGATATATGAATTACTTTCTCCAAAACATTGGGTTCTGAATACATTAATTTTCAGAATTCATAGGCAATGGTATTTTTTCCTCTACTGCTGTGGCTTTTAACACATAGAACAGTATTTTTCAGGGACACACAAATGAGAGAGTAATCAATGAGGCAGATACTTACGTTATCTTTTTTCTGTTTAGAATCATCAATTCAGTACAAGCATGAAGACAGTTGCAAGGCAACTAAAATGCCATAGTATTTCAAACTTTAATATCTATTTATTGTATTTACTAAGCTTACGTATTGTTATCTTCCTAATAACAATCCTGCAACAGTTTGCTGAATTGTTTAAAATAAAGCAATAATAACATCCACAGTAAATGGTTTAAAAATCAGCAAACAATTTTCATACAAAACAGCATACTTGAAGTAGCAAAAGCATTTAGACTTATATACCGCTTCACAATGCTTTACAGCCTGCTCTAAGCAGTTTACAGAGTAAGCATATATTGCCCCCAACAATTTGGGTCCTCATTTTACCCACCTCAGGACGATGGAAGGCTGAGTCAACCTTGAGCCTGGTAAGATTCAAACTGCCAAATTGCTGGCAGCCGGCAGTCTGCAGAAGTAGCCTGCAGTACTGCATTCTAACCACTGCACCACTGCAGCTCTTGGAACTAAAACGTCAATATTTAAAACTTA